GGACCAATTTGGAGGAAATAATTGAAAATCAACCAAGTTTTTGAACACATACATGGCCGTTAGTGACAAGAATTTCAATGAGATGATGACCCACAACAAAATGCTCGAAAAACCAAATTTCTCAACTTGCTAATGCTTTGAAAGACCAAGAAAGACCTTTTTCTTTACCTTCCAAGGCCTAGGTCCCAAGAAACCCGTGAATGCTATTGTTACAAGGAGTGGTAAGGTTCTTGAGGAGAGATTTCCTAGGAGGAGTGAAGACAAGGAGGTCCCCAAGGAAGCTTTGGTTGAGAATGGGGAGATAGAGCATCTCTAGATGAGGTTGTGGTTGAGACACCAAGAGAGGTGAGAGTAGAGAAAGAGATTGTGAAACCCAAGTTCCGTTATCCCCAAAAATTCATGAGACACACATTGGATGAGCAATTTGGGAGATTTATTGACATGCTCAAACAACTTCACCTTTCTCTACCTTTCACCGATATGATCAAACCAAATGCCTAACTATGCCAAATTCCTCAAAGACATTTTGAGTGGGAAGAGGACTTGTGATGTTGTTGAGACTATTATTTTTACTGAAAATTGTAGTGCGATCATCATGAACAAAATGCCACCCAAGTTGAAAGACCCCGGAAACTTCTCCGTCCCTTGTGTTATTAACAAGATGCAAATTAATAATGCCCTATGTGACTTAGGAGCTAGTGTAAGCCTAATTCCATATTTGTTTTATCAAAGACTTGATCTAAGGGAACTATTACCTTCTAACATAACCTTGCAACTAGCCGATAGGTCAAACAAGTTTCCAAAAGGTAAAGTCGAAGATGTTCCATTGAGGGTTGGGAAGTTTGCGTTCCCGGTGGATTTTGTTGTTCTAGAAATGGATGAAGATGCTACCATTCCTATCATTCTAGGTAGACCCTTTCTTGCTACCTTGGGTGCTATGATAGATGTCAAGTGTGCAAAGATTTCCCTTAAGGTAGGCGATGAGGTCATAGAATTCGATTTAAATGAAAGCATGAAATATTCAAGTTCTTCTCTTGAAAATTACATGATAATTGACTCTCTTGATCATGTTGTGTCTTCCATGCATGAGAAATTGATCACCTCTAACGATGCTCTTGAGAATGTTTTGTTGAACAAAGATAAGCTAGGTGCACCATGCAAGAAGATGGCATTGTATGATGAATTTCTTAATGGAAACACGGAGGAAGTGGGTAAACAATTGTGCTTGAAGATCTCAAGTCATGAAGCTTTGCAAGCGGCCGCAACAAAAGAAGGTAAAGGTGTGCCTATGGTAGAGCTCAAACCTCTACCATCACACCTTATGTATGAATTCTTAGGCCGAAATTCCACTAACCCCGTAATTGTTAGTGCATCCTTGAGCGAGAGCCAAGCTCAAGCGTTATGTTGTGTCTTGAGAAAGAAACAAGGTGCTTTGGGCTATACTATTGATGATCTTAAGGGTATAAGCCCTGCTTTGTGTACACACCACATAACGCTTGAGGAAGGCACCCTTCCTTCTATTGAACGATAAAGAAAGCTACACCCTCAAATGGGAGAGGTGGTGAAAAAAGAGATCACCAAGATCTTGGATGCGAGAATCATATTCCCCATCTTAAGCTCTAGGTGGGTCTCTCCCGTTCATGTCGTTCCTAAGAAGGGGGGTATGACCGTAGTCAAGAATGAGAGAGGTGAGCTCATTCCAACTAGGACGATCACCGGTTGGAGGATGTGTATAGACTATCGACGTCTTAATACATCCACCAAAAAGGATCACTTTCCCCTTCCATCCACTGATAAAATGTTAGAGAGACTAACAAGGCACAAGTTCTATTGCTTCCTTGATGGCTATTCGGGATTTTTCCAAATCCCAATCCACCCCGAAGATCAAGAGAAGACAACATTTAAATGCCCTTACGGGACCTTTGCTTCTAGGAGAATGCCCTTTGTCTTTGTAATGCCCCCGCAACTTTCCAAAGGTGCATGATGAGCATTTTTGGAGACATGTTGGAGGAAGAGATGGAGGTATTTATGGGTGACTTCTCCGTAGGTGGGGTCTCATTTGAAAAGTGCCTTGTGAATCTTGAGAAATGTTTGGCACTGTGTGTGAAGGTTGATCTTGTCTTGAATTGGGAGAAGTGCCACTTCATGGTGGAGGAAGGAATAGTGCTTGGACACAAGATCTCTCATATAGGAATAGAGGTGGATAAGGCCAAAATCGAGGTTATTGAGAATCTTCCACCTGCGGTGAATGTCAAGGGAGTGAGATCATTTTTGGGGCATGCGGGCTTCTATAGAAGATTCATCAAGGATTTCTCACTCATTGCCAAGCCCCTTAATGATATTCTTCAAAAAGATGTTGAGTTTGTTTTTGATGGTAAATGATTGGAGGCATTTAATATATTGAAGAAGGCCCTAATCTCTACCCCTATTGTTTAAGCCCCAAGATGGGATTTACCTTTTTAATTGATGTGTGATGCTAGTGATTGGGAAATTGGAGGTGTTTTGGGACAACGTGTGGACAAGAATCTTTATGTGATTTACTATATGTCCAAGACACTAAATGGGGCCCAAAAGAATTACACAACAACGAAAAAGAATTCTTTGCCATTGTTTACTCTTTTGAGAAATTCCGGTGTTATTTGTTGGGTTCCAAGACTATTGTCTTCACGGATCATGCGGCTCTCAAGTATCTCTTTGCCAAGAAAGAGTCCAAGCTAAGGTTGATTCGTTGGGTGCTTGAATTACAAAATTTTGAAATAGAGATTAGGGATAAGAAGGGTGCAGAAAATGTTATGGCGGACCATCTTTCTCGCCTTGAGGGTGATCAAATTCATGATGATGGTTTACCAATTGAAGATAGAATGCTTGATGATGTCTTGTATGCCATTAAGGTTACGGACCTCCCATGGTATGCCGACTTGGTGAACTTTCTAGCATGTGGGGAGTTTCCACCTTCTTTCTCCAAGAACCAACGGAAGAAACTCAAGAGGGAGGCAAGACATTACTTGTGGGATGATCCCATCTTGTATAAACGAGGGGTTGATGGCTTTCTTAGGCGTTGTGTTCCGAATGAAGAGGTGCCAAGTGTTCTAAAGACGTGCCATTTGGATCCTAGTGGTGGCCATATGGGTGTTTCCAAAACCGCCACTAAGGTTCTTCAATGTGGTTTGGGTGGCCACATCTCTTCAAGGATTCATGGGGCTTTGTAAAGTCATGCGACCGATGTCAAAGAGTTGGGAATATATCCAAGAGGAATGAGATGCCTCAACAACCTATTCTTGAGTTAGAGGTGTTCGATGTATGGGGGATTGACTTCATGGACTATTCCCAACTCCATATGGAAATTAAATCATACTTGTGGCTGTGTACTATGTTTCTAAATGGGTTGAGGCCATTGCTTCCCTAACAAATGACCACAAAGTTGTGTTGAAGTTGTTCAAAAAAATCATCTTCCCAAAGTTTTGGTGTGCTAAGGCTGTGATAAGCGATAACGGGTCTCATTTTGTTCACAATGCCTTCCAAAAGATGTTGAGGAAACATGGAGTTCATCAACGGTTTGACCTTCCATATCATCCTCAGAGTGGCCAATTCAAGGTCTCCAATCGTCAAATAAAGCTTATTCTTGAGAAGACGGTTGCAAGGAATAGAAAGGATTGGTCGGACAAGTTAGATGATGCTTTTTGGGCCTATAGAACGGCTTTCAAATACCTATTGGCACCACTCCATATCACCTTGTCTATGGAAAATCATGCCATTTCCGGTGGAGCTTGAACACCGTGCTTTGTGGGCAATCAAGAAGATAAACATTGATTTAAAAAAGTGCGGGGGAGAAAAGGTGGTTGGATCTTCATGAGCTAGAGGGCTTCGACTTGATGCTTATGATTGTGCTAGTACCTACAAAGCTCGTTCCAAGGAAGCTCATGATAAGCTTATTGAGAAAAAAGAATTTTGTGTTGGTTATAAAGTCCTCCTCTACAATTCAAGAATGAAGTTATTTCCCGGAAAGCTCATGTCAAGATGGAGTGGCCCTTTCTTGGTGAAAGATGTTATTGCTAATGGTGCCGTGGAGATTTCTTCTTTGGATTCCTTATCTTCTTTCAAGGTTAATGGTCATCGGCTCAAGAGATATTTTGATGGAGTGTTTGTTGGTATTATTCATAAAATGATTCTTTTCAAGCCACCTTGAGTGGGGTGGTAAACATCGAGCTGACGACGTTAAATAAAACCGCTTACGGGAGGCAACCCGGATTCTCACCTCTACTCTCTTTTCTTTCCTTTCTTTTATTTTTCTTTGTTGATTTTTGCTCTTACCTTTCCTTGTGTTTTTGGTTTGTTTTGTAGGTTGCCTTCATTCATCATCTATGGACTTAATGTGTTTGATGAGGATGGCAAAAGGAGATTTTGGAGTGCAGGGGAGAGGGCACCTGCGGGCTTGGAGAGGCCTCGGGTGCCCTTACTTTAAAAAGAGGAAATCGAATCAGTAGCTCTTAGCAGGCTCTCCGCGGGCGGGCTAATCACCCGGGCGCGGCAAAGTCGGGAGAGGGCGTGGCCTATTTTCACAAAAATGAATTAGGAACTCTCCGTGGTTGCCCCGCCGGCACGACAATCCCGGAGAGCGCGCGACCCCTTTTCTGGTAAAAAAATCAAATTTTTCCAGAATAGGCCCACGGTTGCCCCGCGGTCTCTCCGCGGGCGCGATGATGTCGAGAGAGGGCGCGGGCACCTGGGTTGTTTAGTAACCCGATTTTCCCTCCTCTCTCTCTCTCCTCTCTTATTTTCCATTTCACCCTTAATTTCCCCCTTTCTCTCTCTTCCTCCTCTCAAACCCTAACCCCCAAATCATCTTTCTCACACAAATTTACACAAATTCACCCTAGTTTTCACTCAAATTTCCATCCCAATTTCCATCACACTCCATTTTCATCAAGCATAATCTCTTTTCTCGTGGCTTTTTTCAGGAATTTCGAGTCATAGACGGTTTTTGAGCTTACTTTGAGTCTTCAATCTTGGTATACTTTTAACCTTTGATTTATTTTTTGTCAATTTCAATTGATTATTATACATTGGTTTTGGTTGGCCTTGATTAAGCATGACTATGATGTTTTTAGTAGTTTGTTTGGTGATTTTGGAATTATTTTGAGTAATTTGTGCCTATTTTTATGTTGGATTGTTAATGTTGTTGGTTGTTGTTGGATTTTTGGTGTTTTTTGCTTGTAACAAGTACTTTGTAGTTTGTGGTGGTTTTGGGTGGTTTATGAAGGTGTTATAAGTATTGGTGGTAGTGCTGGTGTTGATTTTGGGTGATTGTGTGAATTCTTGTGTTGGTTGAACTTGAGATTATGGATTTGTTAAGGAAAGTTAAGAGTTGCAAGAAAAGTTCAAACCAATCTCCCGACCAATCCTCCCAAGGCCAATCCACTCGTAGCCAACCTTCAAACACCGAACCTCCTCAAAACCAAACTACTCAAGATGATAACCCACCTCCTACTTTACCTCCTCTCAAATTTCACAACCGGTCTAAACATGTCCCTGAAATTTAGACCTACCCGCAACTATCTTCCCGATGTTATGGTCAAATGCCGACCTTGACATTTTACTCGGAACCTTGGTTTTGATGAGTATGTAAAGACATCCCCGCAAACCTATTTGGAACCGTGCATTGAGTTTTTCTCCACCTTTGAGTATATAGGTCAGGGGATACCGATTATATCATCTCTTTTCAACTATTCAACTCAAAACATACCATGAACCTTGCCGAATTCAACAAAGCCTTTGGTTTCAACCCCAATACGACATCTATGAGCCCTTGGTTGCCCTTCTCAAGTCCGATTAAAATGAGGTAGCATGGTGGAGTGTCATATCTAAGAATATGGTGTTTAACTCTCAGGATTCACTTGCTAGTGAGATCATTCACGCAGCTCTTAGAATTCTTCATCGGGTTCTTGGCTATGCCGTGTTTAATAAGAAAGATCTTGGGAAGCTTTCGAGGGAGGATATCTTAGTTCTTTGGATGGCTACAGGGCCGGATTTGGGGCCAAGGTTGAATTTTGGGTATATTTTCATGAATTGTTGTCAAGTAATCATCAATGGGAAGAAGAGGGGTGAGATTCATTGTGGTGGTATGATTACTAGATTGGTGCATTATTTCAAGCAAGAACGTTTCTTGAGGTCTTGCACTCCGATTGGAGGGAGTGAAGACATGTACTTATATTTGAAGCAACTTAACACTTTGCGCTTCATTACTAAGACTAAGAGAGACATTGTTTATTCTTGGCTAGTGCGTAATGTGCACCATTGTTTGCTCCCAAACCCGGCTGCCACCTTAATTACTCGAGAGGATAGGATTGTTTGGAGGATTCCTATGGATAATGGGATAGTGGAGGATTATATGGAGGAAGATGACGATGATGAGGACGATGATGATGATGATGGAGAAGGTGGAGAAGGAGAAGGTGGAGATGAGAGAAAGAAGAAGAAGAGCAAGAAGAACAACAACAACTGCAGCAAAGAAGAAGAAGAAGACAACAACAT